GCCCCGGGGAGAGTTTATCAACCAATGCAAATCTTTGGTCTCATCCTCAATATTGAAATATACCATAAGACCAATACGATGATTCAAAATCTCGTTATCGATCCCTCGGCCTAAAGAAGTTATATTTCTCAATAAATTCGGTTGAATAGGGTAAAATTGTATCCCTTAGGAAACAAGTCCTCTCAACTTTTGTCTAGAAAGACCCTTACCAAGTCCTCATTACTTTTTTCTAGAAAGATCCTTTCTTACTTCTAAGGGAAGCGTTTTTCTTCTATTTTTCAATAAAGATATAAAATTATAAGCTACATAAGAAAGGTCACTAATTTATTCTTTCATCAATCAATGTAACTTGTAAGGTGCTTGTTAGTAAAGTACCTGGACAAAAACAGTGCCATCAGTATAGGCATGGGGATTGATGGCACGAGTAGTTCGTTGGCCACAGACGTTGCAAGTAAAGGCCACACGCATACGCCTTCGTGGAGATTTAGTAAAGAGAGACCAAGGGAAGGTGGAAATCTGCTCAGTACTGGATTCAGAATCCGAACCAGCAGGCACAGGTGGCCCCTCCATGCCCGAGCCAGTAGTCCAGCCTCTTACATTAGCTGCACTAAGGGCCAAACCCATAGCTGCATCCTGGTAAAAATCCTCGAAAGACACACAGATCAGAACCCCAAATTCACCAAAATATCGTCAAAAACAACAATTTAAACGAAGAAAGAACTCAAATTTGAAGATGATAATTCAAAAGGTTCAGCACAATCCACCAATTGAAATCCCAAAATCACCCCAACTTCGTCGAAACACAAGAATCAAACCAAAGGAAAAAAAGGAACTTTGAGGGCGACGAATCAAAAATACTCTTACACCCACCAATCAGAACCCCAAATTCACCATAATTTTGTGAATCCCAATAATTAAATCAAAGAAAGAGAAGTATATTCGCGTTCTGATGAATCAAAATCACATTAAATGAGTAGACCTAGCAGTCAAAAACCCAAATTCGTCAAAACCCAACAATAAAATCGAAAAAAAGAATTTAAGCAACTTCGAGGTTGATGAATCAAAAATACCCTTAGATTGAGAAGACCCCCAAATGAAAACCTCAAAATCACCATAATTTCATGGAAACCCGACAATTAAATAAAAATATTAAACTTTCAGGTCGATAAATCAAAAATACCTCTAGATACAATAAACCCACAAATCAAAACCTCAAAAATCACCATAATTTCATGGAAACACAACAATCAAATCAAATAAAAATATCAACTTTATGCTCGATCAATCAAAAATACCTTGGAGAGAGTAGGATTGTTGAAGATGGGAACGATACTTGTGCCTTCATTTCCGTCAGATTGAAGATCGGGTTCATTTCCATTATCTGAAAAAACAAAAACAAAAAGATTAGCATTAGAATCAATAAATGATTGAAAAAACATGAGAAAAATGAGTAAA